TTTTCCTTTCACTAGCAAATCCACAAAGAGAAATTGTGAGATTGATGGGCTCCTACATAATTCTCCTTCCCTGCTTTGTGACTTATTGGGCTTGAAGAGGCAAGGAGGAAAAAGATCACTATAGGCTCCCAAAGTGTGAGGGGGCCTTGGAGAGGTAGGACTGCCTAAAGAAACACACATGCACGTGAACACACACACGCATGCATGCACACACACGTCTGGAGGAGAAAAAGATATGCTGATGGGAAAGAAAGTTCTTTTCATGAAATGGAACAACTGATATTGTATAAGCATTAATCCTGTATTTCCATGTTCCTGTACTTCATGCTCTTGCATAAAATTTTTTTTCAAATTTATCTTCTTTAATTATCTTTGAAATTAAATAAATATCAATTTTTAAAAGGTTAAATATTTTACTTTCAATTAAAAAAATTCCAAAATCCCATAACAAAATAAGATTAAAACAATGGTAAATACACTATGTATCTTTATCTTTAAAATAGTTACTCAGAGAACAAAGCAGATAAAAAATGATTCTGTCTTACAGAGAAGAAACAAACAGGTAAGGTTTTAAAAATAAGCCCGAATTCAGCTGTATGTGAGATAGTTAACATTTGGGTCAATGTTTTCATCTAAAATCCCAGAGCACTTTATGGGACAGTATACTTTTATTCTGTTTTTTTATTTTTGTTACCAGGAATTGAACTCAGGACCTGGTGCTTGCCAGGCAGGTGCTTGTGGCGCTGAGCTATTTGCTCAGCTGAAAGAGTAGGTTCTAAAGAGTGAAAAGAAAAATGTCCATAATCCAGAAAACCAAAAAGAAGTGGCAGGAAGCACTGATGTTCTGCCTGTTCTTAGCCTCAGACTGTAGTAAATATTTTATTATCCTAAGGAGCATTAAAAATTAGTAAGTGATAGACATTAGCAGCCTATGTCTTCAGCATGGAAGGTTTAAATTATTCTGGATAATTGATAGTTTATTGATCAAGTGTAATTGATTGCCATATAGGAAATTTAGTAAAATATTAGAAAATTTTAGGTCTTGCTATGTAATTTAAGCTGGTCTTGAACTCATTATGTAGCCCAGACTGTCTTGAACTGATAGCAGTCCACCTGCCTCAGTTTCCCCAGTGCTGAGGTTACAGGTGTTTACCACCATCCCCAGCTAGAAATGTTAGTAGTTTTTACTTTATTCACCTTTATTCAACCTTTATGGAGTGCACAACTCTACTTGCAGTTAGAGCTACAAATTCAAATAAGGCATGGTCTATTCTTTTAAGGAACAGGACCATGTTGTAGAACCCAGATTTTCAACCTCAGTGTTATTTGCATTTGTATCGACTTGTGCTTTGTTCTGTGTGTTTGGGGGGGCAGTTCCTTTGTGCATGATATGATGCTAATGTTATCCCTGGTCTGCGATAGATAAAAAGGTAATTAGATGGATGAAAGATAGGTAGCTGAACAGGTACACGGGTAGGTGGATTGATGGATGGATGAATAGGTGATGGGGTGGAAAGCTGGACTGACAAATAAATGAATAGATAGATAGATAGATGATAGATAGATAGATAGATAGATAGATAGATAGATAGATAGATAATACAGAGATAAATGTAGATACATAGGAGGAAGGATGGATAAACAGATGGTTAGGTGGATGGGTACACATTGTATATATGTACTGAACTATTATGCTGTAACTCATAAATTTGTACAAGCATTAGATGTCAATTATAAAGAAGAAGAAAGCAGGGCTGGGCATGTAGCCCAATGGTAGAGCACTTGTGTAGTATGTGCAAGGAACTGGGTTCAATCCCCAGAACTCCAAAAAAGAAAATGGAAAGAAAAGAAAAAGGAAGAGAAGGGAAGAAAAAAGAAAGGGAAAGAAGAAAAGAACAGAAAATGAGTTCAGAGGAAGGTGACATCTTGTTCTCCAAAGCCTGATTATCCAGTTGTCTGCTAGGATCCAGTTTCCTGAATAGGTGTGGACCCATTTGGAACCAAGGATCAGTAGGAAAAAAGAACATTTTTGATGGGAAAAATCACATAACACTGGTGTCTGTGTGTTGGACTCATTGGTAATGGTGCTCAACTGTTTTATTTTAATAATTTTTGATCTATCATCTGCCAAAGACCTCTGAACAGCCCAACTAAACCCTACACACAGACAAAGTTTTGTGTGGATACATGTTTAATGCTTAAATTAAGTGGAAAAGGTAAATAACAGTTTAAGCTTAGGAATCTCCTAGTAAGTTACATGCATATATTGTGTGCCAATCATTTCCAATGCAGGCGTTTCTGTTCCCTTCTAGGACTATGTCTTCAAGGATAGCATTTGTTCTTTTTAACTCTTTATACAACTGAACTTACCAGGAAGATTTCTCAGGGGCTTGTTAAAATCTTAATATCCCTGGCTTGAAATTGGGGCTAATTGACATTGTTTAATACTGATGCCTTTTAAAGATTCTTTCTTTCTTTTTTTCCCATAATTTGTTGTAGCTTTTGGGTCTGATAAGGTCAATCAAATCCCCTCAGGATTTATTCTGAGATCCTGTACCTCAGAGTGTAGTACCTTTGTCAGTGTCAGCCATGTGGATGAGTCACGGCCATTGCTTGGCCAATGTGCTCTCTGTGAAAGCCTGAGAGAATGTTTTCTCTTCATGTGACTCACCTTAGGCACACTCTACATCATCGATCACTTTCCTCTTTGGCCCCATAATCTCCTTGATCAGAAAATTTGGGACACTACCAAGTTACATGACGTAACAGTACAAGTTCTCATATGTCCTGAGTCTTAATTGACCTTAGAAGGCTAGGGCCAAAATGTTGGCTTTCCTTGCAGCCCTCCTTTTTCTCTAATTTTGGTCTGCAAACTTAGGTTGTTAAACATCCAGAAGACAAGCTTACTGTTATTACCATACAACTTAAGCTGTTAAGCTTAACCTCACTATCTGTCTGAATATCAAACATCTTAGGCCTAACATGGAACAGGTATTTTTCATCAAGTATTGATATGTTGAACTTTAAGTCCCTACAGAATATGATTTAAAAATTTAAAAATTAGAATATATTTTAAAAATAGGCATAAAGAATTATTTACTTCTTATGTTTACACATAAGTCCAAAAATCTAACCATATACAACCTTGAAGCAGGACAGTCCCACAATATTCCTTTTCCTGTCTCTTGCTTTCATTCACCACCCACTTCTTTTTGAACAACTATCTACCTGAGAGACAGCACTGCATGTCATGACAAGCAACCCATATTCAGAAGACCAGAATGACAGGCACTCCAAGCATGAAACTACTATTACAGATTACCATCTGCAGTGCAGTTGCTTAGTTCACAGGTATCAGTATATATAGTTAGTCAGGGTGAGAATCTTTCCAGTGAACTGCTAGATTCAAAAATCTTCTGGAGATTCTGAGGATCATTGCCTTGCCCATCTTCTGCATATAACTGTATGGCTTGACATTGTCATGTTTCCTAGCTCTTCTCCTTTCCCTCTCTTGATTAGTTAGTCCTCGAGATCCTGCTTTCCTTTTACTTGTACTATTCCTATCTTTCATTTCTGTAAAACTGTACTTAAAATTATTGTATATATGAGAGTGAAAAAGACTTCAGATAAGTCACTTATGCCCACTTGGCCTTTAGTTTTCTTATCTGTAAAGTTAGGGTTTAAATTTTTCAGGTTTCTCTCAGCTCTAGAAACCTGGAATTCTACGGCATAGTCTAACCCCAAACCCTCAAAGCCTCACCAGTTTGTAGGTTATTTGAACATTCTTTTATGAATCACAGTAAAATTTCCTGTAAAGTCCACTCAAAATCATGGAGGACAACTTAAATTTTCCATGCTCTGTGGATATCTCAGCTAGCACCCACACTACCCTTCCACCTGTGGAATTAACCCTTCTTTCTCTTTGTGGAAGTTTTTCCTCCTCTCCTCCCTTCCTTCCTAGTTTGGCCTCAGTGTTTCAACTCTCAGGGCCCTGCTATCTGAAGCTTCCAAGGCACTTAACAGTTTCTCCACGCTCAGGCAATTTGTTCTTTCCTCATTCCGTCTATGCCTGCCATGTTATTCTGAGATGCTTAATTTGTTGTAACAATTACACTGTGGCACACACCCAGTGTCTCCTCTCTGACTTCGTGCACACCTTTCAGGCCAGGTCTAGCAAAGGTACTAGAGATGCGACCTAGGGCCTTGCCCATGCTAGGTTCCACCATACATGGCAGCCAGCCCTATCCTGAATGGCTGAAGCATCCCTTGAGCATATACTCATGTATCCAGCCTAGTTTTTTACTTCATGCTGTCTGTTCCAATGAAGTGTGTTACCAAGTATGTTTGTATAACTTAGCTCCAAGTTCTTAAGTCTCTGGTTTAATGTTTCAAACTTCCTCAGTTCTCATGGTTAGACTGCACAACAATTTTATACTACAGAACATTTTCCTTATTTGAAAAGGTCAGCTGGGGACTGGGGAGATAGCTTGGCTGTCTAAGCCCCTGCTTGGCAAATGCAATGACCCAGATTTGATCCCCACAACCACATGCAGTGTCTGCCCCAGGCATGCTGAGCCAGCCACTGAAACCCAGCATGGTGGTGCACACCTGTAATCCCAGTGCTGGAGAGGCTGGGACAGGAGGATCACTATGAGCTCAAGCTGTGTGATGAGACCCTGTAGCAAATCAATATAAATAAATAATTTTTAAAAATTAAAAAGAAAAGGCTGTCACCACATAGAAGTTCATCACTTTCCAAGTAAAATGTCCCTATTTACCCTGAGTCTGATGTCAAGAGAGGGAGTAGATTAAGGAAAAATGGGAAAACAAATCCTTTTGGTTATGTTACACCCCGCAGTCCTAAGATCCTGGCTGAATCTCAATCTCTTATCTGTTGTCACAACATCCAACTTCTTTTTTGTACTATGACCTACAAAATTGTTCATTTTGTGCTTAATATGCAATCTTAATTCATTAATATAAGACCTTAATTATCTTACCTCAATTCCAGCATTGGTAATTTTATAACACTCAGATAAAGAAAGTTCCTTCAGTTTCTTATGTTTGGAAAGCGCTGTCAATCCCTAAAAATACAGAGAACATCTTGTAATTATAATTTAGTGTGAAGGTATATTTTAATAACCATTTGTGCAAACTAACAGCATAAAATTTTTGTGGAAACTAAAAAAAATAGCTTTTATCTTATATTTCTTTGTATTTGTTTATTTATTTATTATTTTTTTTTTGTGGAACCGGGGATTGAACTCATGTCCTTGCGCTTGCCAGGGAAGTGCTTATTCCACTGAGCCATCTCCCCGGCCCCTATTTCTTTACATTTAAACATAAAACCACTGTGGATAGAAAATGTCATTAAGTACAATTTTCATGTTGTCCCTACTGCTGTATAAAAAAGTTTACAAAATTCCAGAGCCAGAAGACTTCTTAGAAAGTTATTGTGCTGTGACTTGTTTCCAGATGTGATCTAAATCAAAACAAACAACTCTTACAACTTTATTTTGAAGACGTTATGTGGCTAATGCATCTGTTAATAAGTTATTTCTACCTAAAAATCTGAAAATCCATAGCTCACTTTATAATTCTGAGTGTCTTGAAGTGAAATGGAATGGATTTTGTATATAGACAGATATTTGCCCGTAAATAGTCCAGTTCTTTTTCAGGATTAAAGCTTTATTTTTTGTAATTAAAAAAGTAGACTGCGCCGTACATTTTTTGTGTGCATTTGTGCTGTCCTATTTCTCTAACCCCCAGGTAAAGAACTGCTCAGTGGGGCTTGCAGATGCAGTCCCTGCTTTGCACTCAGGACTGCGCTTCTTCCATAGTTCTCCAAGACAGGCTTCCTAGGCCAGGTGGGTAAGAGCAGGGCATTTTCGCATCTTTCTTTCTTTCTTTCTTTCTTTCTTTCTTTCTTTCTTTCTTTCTTTCTTTCTTTCTTTCTTTCTTTCTTTCTTTCTTTCT